CTACATAGTGAGTTCCAGGACAGCTGGGGCTACAGGGAGACCCTGTCTCAAAAAGACCAAAAAAAACAAAAAAAACAAAAAAAAACAAAAAAAACCAGGAAAACAGTTTTATTAAGATTTAATTTATATGCTATAGAATTTCCACATCTGAAATCTACAGTTTAAAGCTTTCAGCACCTTCACAGCCAGTTTTTGAACATTTTCCTGTCCTTTAGCTGTCCTCTCCTTCTGCCCCCATGTCCTCTTTGCCCCAGCAACGATTTTGACTATAGATTTGCCTGTTTTAGACATTTCCTATAATGGCATCATACACAGTGTGTTTTGTGACTTTCACTTGGCATGCCTTCAGGCCTTATCTGTGTTTTATCTTGTTTCTGTTTATGGCTGAATATTATTCCTTTGTGTAGATATATCCCTGCTATGTTTTCAAAGATCACTTTGCACACTGTGGCTATTATAGAGTGCTTCACTTACCAACACAAACACGTCCATCCACACCCACTGCCAGGCCTGGAGGACAGTCACAGCGGAAGGACCCTTCATTGTTGATGCAGTGTCCATTCATACAGATACCTGGGGTCTGGCATTCATCAACATCTGCTCAGAGGGTGACAGAAGTCAAGTAACAGAGCTGAATGACAGGCTTTGTTGCACTGCACTATCCTGTGGGCCTTTCAACTTAGGAGATTACAGAACACACAGAAACATAACATCTATACAAATATGATCTGCTCAGACATATTTTCAGGGAGACTGACAAAAACTTTCCATACTAAGGAGAAAAACAGCCTCATGACTACTCTGTATTATCTATCTGATAATGCTAATAACATCTAATTCAAACTGAGTTAAATAAATCTTTAAAAATCTACAGTATTTTTTTGTAGTTTTTTCCACATGAAAATTTAATTAGAGTTAGATTCTGCTTTGATAATAATTTGAGCATTTCATACTAATCAAATAACCTAAGGTATTCCTTGCAATTTCCAGTCTACTTGAATGTATCAAATGTTGACCAATGTTAAATGGCTTCTTCAACATAAGAAACCCACTTCAAACAGAGAGCTGCCAAATTATGGCCATTCCAGGACAGATAGATTATAACATCTGTAGTAAGAGAATGGATGAAAACTGATTTCCAGGAGACATGCATGTATTCCATCTTATTAAAAATAGTTCCAGTCATGGGTGCAAATATAGTGCTATCTATTCCCAAGGGGTCTCTATTGTTTATTAAAACTGTCAATAGAACTTGGTCTTACAATGGTTTCATAAAATATAACTAATGAAAACATTTAAATTATCTTCACTAAATTAATGTAAGCTTTAAAAATAGTGATATATTTACAAATGGCCAATAGGTCAGCTCCAAGGAAAAGACTGTGCCTATTGAAAGTCACACTTGGAAATCCAGTCCTAGAATACATGGAAATGACAATTTGCAAGGTTTTTGCTTATTCTTTTTTATTTAGCCAAGAAGCAAGAAAAATTATTTCTATACTGTCTCTTGTATTTGCCTGTCGTTTTCTTAATTTTCCTATACCGTTATAATTTTGCAAAGACATTACTATTTCTCCTATTACAGCTTACTGTTTTCCTAGGAAGCATTAGACGTCTGTCTTACTGAACTAGCAAGGGGTGTGAATGATATGAAATCTGCACGAATGATATGAAATCCACACAAAGAAACAGGAATTCTTGCATGATCTATACAAAAGAAAGGATGGTTCCAATCATGGTGACTCTCCTATCTCAAAGCCATACATACCAGTGCAGTAACGCCCATTTGGCGCCAACACAAATCCTGGCTTGCAAATGCACTTGAAGCTACCATCTTCATTGATGCACATCCCGTTCAAACACATGTTGGTAGTTGTACATTCATCATGATCTGTCGAAGAAGAGAGAGTGACTTTGACCACTGGTCTCAAGAGAACCAACTTTCCTTCCACAATCTCTAGTCAAGCCTACCAAACATATGAACTGTAGGCTAAAGGACATTATTTTACTTTTAAAAATAATACTAAATGCATGAAAGCAAATAATATGAAGGCTAAGAGCTTTAGGTATAAATGATACAAAGGCAAAGAATAAGCCTCGTGCTTAGTTGCGGTTAAAAATGACATGAACAGGGCCGGGCATGGTGGCACATGCCTTTAATCCCAGCACTTGGGAGGCTGAGGCAGGCAGATTACTGTGAGTTCAAGGCCAGCCTGGTCTACATAGTGAGTTCGAGGCCAGCTGGGGCTATGGAGAGACCCTGTCTCAAAAAGACTGAAAAAAAAAAAAAATAAGACATGAACCATTAATAGTGCTTTATTTCACCAAAAAGGAAACAGGATTTCAGTGGGTGTCTCTTTCATTATATGGATAAAGCAATTGTGAACCTCAAAGCAGGCAAAATGACTTTGACTTCTGTTAGCGAATGAAATAAAACATTCTATGTGTAAGTAGAATATTTCGTTTGGCCTCTAGCACCCTGCTAGGCATGCCAGGACAACAAACCAAGAGGTTCAACATTGTGGCATCCCCCTAGATTCAGGAGGGTAACCCTCCTCTAGGTTGTCACTGTTATAAGTCCAGAATCTAAAGTACAGCATGCAGATGAAGAACACCTGCTACTTATAATTCAATACATAGTGCACAGGAAAATTTGAGAATAAGTTATCTATTGCTGTAGCAGCCCCTAAAACTTCAGTCCCTCTAATAATTTAAGCGCATTTATATTTTATCTATCTATGTTATGTGACAGGCTCTCACAGATGATGCGTGGAAGCGTTCATGAAAATCATATATGTGGTTCTAAATTAAAAATATGTATCCTGTAAACATCTTTTGCTAGGGAGAAGAAAACGTTCCATACCAACGCAGTTTTTCCCATCTGTCGTTAACTCAAAGCCGGCATTGCAAATGCACTGGAAACTTCCATCTGTGTTCACACATCGACCGTTTTTACAAAGAACTCCATTCTGGATGCATTCATCAATATCTAGGAATATTAAAGGCCACCAAACGGTATTTTTGATACTTATAGATAAAATCAATAACATGATAATATAGTTTTAAAATATTCACTGCATTTTTGTGTGTAATAAATAGCCAAGATCATGTTGCTTCTTCAGCAGACTTACCATCTCTTACTAGCTTTTCTTCTTGGATAGAGGGTGTAAACAGTCCTACAGCCCATACAGTGGGTGAAGAGGGAAAGAGAGAAAGGGAAGGGGGTGTGCGGTGAGCCTAACAGAGGCCATGACAGGGCTGGGGTGAGTGGTGCAGCTGTTTTTGACCTTAAAAGTCAGAGCAGGCTGCTGGGGAAGTGAAAAGGACTTGCAGAATTTCTGGATTAAGAGTATGATATGATGAACACTGCTGGAGAAAGCTGACTGAAGCACCTACCGGGGGACGAACAGGACATGAAAAGACCAGCACAGTCATCTGGCAGAAGAATTCCCAGAGGAGTCAGCAGTGAGGGGTAGCCCTTGGATGACGGCGGTGGGTGCCGCAGAGATTGTAGTGCATGGTGCTGGACTGTGAGTGGGGCTCAAAGAAACAGTAGTTGGAAATGACTGCAAATCTAAGTGTGGGTAATCTAACGTGCCTTGAGAAAGGAAGCTGTGCTTAGAGGGAGGAAGACAGACTGAAGCTTTTTTGAAGGCAGATACCACATTGCTTGGGTTATATATTCAAAGTGTTTACATTTAAAGGGTGATTCTCCAAAGGCATTAGAAAATAAACCTACAGTTAACTTAAATAGCTCATGCTATTTGTGTCCCATTTAAATAAATTTCGTTTAACCTCAACAGCCTTGTTCGGAGTATTTCGTGGAACACTTTCCTGTGTGCAGAAACACTGCCTTACCAATGCACGCTTGCTTAGTAGGAGTCCTCTGGAATCCAGCGTGACATTTACAGTAATAGGATCCAGGTGTGTTAACACAATCTCCATTAGTGCAGGGATTTGATGTGCATTCATCAACATCTGCGAGCCGCAAAAGAAACCATTACAGAATTCACTCAATTTGTAGAAATGTTTGTTTAAAGTACAGTTAGCCCTCCCAAACTTGAGAGAGGGCCAGTCAGTGGTAAGAGTCTAAATAGCAGAGTGTTTATAAATGAATGAAAATTCCTTTCTTCAAATACACACAGAGGCCAATTTGAAGATTTACAAAAATAATGCTTATTGGAGAGTACTAGGGAATTTGCTTTAATCAGGAAATAATGATTTTTCAATTGGAAAAATGCCCGATGATTAAGAGCATGGGCCTTGAAAAGAAATATCTATGAGTTCCAATAGGCAGTAATGTTTATTATCTGCAGTAATCTGAACAAGATAACAGCCTAAGTTTTGTAAGATGTCAGAAGAACAAGGAACTGTTTCTAAAAATATATACATATACATATCTACATATATGTTACATGTAGTCATTACTGTTAGTTTTAAAGAAAGGGGCTGATGGACTATGGGATTTCTTTGTTACTTTTTGGTGAGCTAATCTACATATACATGGCTAGATATTCACCGAGGCTTTATTTTGTAGTAAAAATTACAAAGAAGGTAGAAAATGAAAACTGATTAAAACAAAGAAATCTTCATTAACTTCAGATTTCCTTAATGTCTTCAAATTGTTATTGGTGGTGTTTTTTTCAAATAAAGTTAAATTTTATGCAAATACTATCTGATCTGAAATTGTGAGACAGTTGTTGGTTTTCACTCAAGGTCTCCTAAGGCCCAATTAAAATGCAAACCAACTGCAGAATTCTGGGTCTGCAAAACCAAAGGCCAGACTGACCCAATCAGACTAGGCAAAGCCTAGAGAAGTCATGGGCCAATGTAAGTTTAAATCGTCTCCTTTTAGCAGTGCTCGCTAAATATTACTTTGAATGCTGGCAAGTTAAAAAGCTGGCATTAACTCTTTGCCATGACAGGTCCATGCAGAAACCATTAGCGCTAGAATTTTAGCAAAACTGGAGAACACAACAATACAGTCAGCTCACAGGGTTACCATTTTAATAAACAGATTGTTCCTTCACAGATGTTTCTACCAGTGGGACTGCACTCTATCAAACACACCAACCTCATTTATATAAACGTTCAGAGGGAGTGCAATTAAGCCCTTTCTGGTACAGGGGGAAAAAAAGCAAAACAAAACCTCATGGTGAATAAAACAAAAACAACAAAGAATAACGAATTAAATGCTTTTTCAATTCATCTAAAGGCCTTTTCGGCCTATTAAAACTCACTTACATTTAAACTTTTGGTTGATAACATCAATTCTACTGAGCCAAAGGAAGGAAGCACAGCGAGAAAAGAGAGAGTTCAGAGCATTAGCAAACTCGTAAGGCACAGGTAGTGGATTTCCCACTGTAAAACAGCTCCTTCAGTTTGTATCACTGAAGATCGCTTAAATTGTCTTTATGCTCATTATTGAATTCCAACAGTGACCAGTGTGTCATAGTCATATCTCAGTGGACGCCTCAGTGCAAAGCTGTTTTTAAGTGAAGAGCATCAGAACTCAAGCATCCAAAGTCCTCTCTCTAGATAAACTGGGAAGCCACAATGTTGCTTGGCTGGACCCCTTTCACTTTAAGAACCTGCTAAGGCTGCTTTTGCATGACAGCTCATCCAGCTACTTTGCTATTTCAATGGTAATTCATCACTGTTTCCTAGGCCACCAGAGTCCTCTTCAAGGGTCCATCCCACAGACAGGATATATTCGTTTATTTCTTTTTATTTCTTCATTGGCAATCAAACCAATCACCAAGCACCACAGCGGCTTTAGAACACCAAGTGCCTTTTAAAACTCATTTGTTGCTTTCTGTTTGTTTAACAGGATTATAACATTTTAAGTTTCATCTTCATTTCATGGTCATACGCATGTAAACGAGCACTTCATCAGTGAGTTACAGTCTCGGTTCCCAGAGATTTGGTTTTAGAATAATTAAAAATCATCATAATTATCCTTGAAACATTTCATGCCTCTTCTTTATTCTGAGTCTCACATCCTAGTACTACAAGGTGATCACATTTATCCGGCTTAAAAGAACAGAAATATTCAACTCTTATAGTCACTGATCAACTGCTATACTCACTACACTTTGACTTTTCCTATATTTTCATTAGGGACTGAGTATTGTTAAGAAAAATTCATAGGCATTCTAAGCTATTTAAACAAATGAAAGAATTGTGAAAATGCAAACACTATTAGGGTTAAGGAATTTTCCCTTAAAAGATATTTTACATATAAATTTAGGAAATATATTTTTTCCAGTATTACCCATGGAGCAAAAAGAAAGAATTCATTTCTTATTGTCCCCAAATAAAATGATATGAGTTAAAACAATTATTGGCAACAGTTTGACTTACATAGAAACTAGGAGTTTCAGAATTTCATTTTTAAGAGTAAAATTAGAAGAGAAAAATATGGGTAAGTATGTATTTTTCAGGTCTTGTAGAGATAAGTTTCCTAGGAGCAAGATGGGTCTGATTCTGTTTCTCTTGTGTTTTGGCTTTTAACATAGCTATTACCTTTATGCTATGCTGTTTTAACAGATATCTAGCAGAAGCCCCAAAGATCTAGGGCAGTTTTGTCATTCAACAATTTACAGGCAGGAGAAACTAAGTTGTGGGTCAGAGCAGTCCATGAGCCTTCCAAAATAACACGGCAATTGCCACAGCCCTTGATTGCATCCTAGAATTTGGAGGTAAGACCTTATTGCTGAAGACAGGCCACACTTCAGACACAGGACTTGAAGTAATGGAGCTGGAACTGACCAGGAAACTGTCTCCCTGAAGACCAGCTCTCATGGTATCAGAGCATACTATACAAGCTGCTATGGGAGAAAACCAATCAATGGTCCAACCCAGCTGTCAAGCCTAATAAACAACTGATCCAGCAAACTATCACTATTGGTGCATTAGTGGCACTTTTATCTTTGGCACAGCTATCTAACTGGACTTAAAGCTCACTCAATGGGAGGGAACTCAGGTGTGGTACTGTAAACGTCAAATATACATGGCTGGAGAGGTCGTAGATCCTAGAGAAAAAACTACTTTTGCCACATCCCTAGACCAATGTAATTTCTTACTGTATTCTAAATATGCATCCTCATATTTACAGACAAGTATGCCTCGCACCACTCATCAAAAAAGCTTCTTCATGCAACAAATGGAGACTATTACAAAGTTCCACAACTGGTCAAATGCAGACATGAGATGCTTAGCTCTAAGTGGCACATTTTCAAAGCAATCTCTACACATAAGATTAATGCATCTCTCAACTCTCACCAGGGAAGTGTCTTTATGCAGCAGATGATGATTATCACAAAAACCCACAACTGTTCAATGTGCAGAGAATATGAGGCTACATAACGTTTATCACTAAGCAGGACACTTATTTCAAACTTCTGCCTCCTGAGAATCAACGATCGTTGTGGAAGAAGGGAGACTATGAGAGTCAGAGGTGGTAGATGACCACAGGAAACAGAGTTTTCCAGACAGCTGGGAAGTTACACATATGAATTCACAGCAATGGTGACAGCATGCACAAGTCCTGTGCAAGCTCAAACCAGACAAAATCCCAGCTTGGATATGAGGAAGTCAGAAAGAAACCCCAACCCAGCCTAAGGAACTTTTGGTAACTGATGGCTGCTGGGACTGGGGGAGAGGTTGCTTAGAGGGATGGGATTCCTGTTAAGTTAATAAGGATCCAATGGATGAACCCACACTGAAGGACATGTGGGACACAGGTAGGCCATATTATATACATAATAGAGTGCATTAAATTGAGTGGGAGCAGTAAGGGGAGGTGCAGATAGGGGAGGGGATCTAAATACCATCAACTTATATTTTATGAAAATAGAAACATTTTATAATTTTTTAAAGATGGAAATAAAAACAATTGGCACAACTTAAAGATTTAAAAATTACACATGGAATATATAAAGATATCTCAATTGAAATTTTATAGATGGAGAAATATATTAGCATTAATGCAAGATTAGTCATTAATAAAGGGTAAGTGGACTTGTATCAGTACTACAAGATGTAAAATTAAGCATTTACCAACAAACACCACAATATGGGTATAAAGCAAGTATTAGTGACTCAATTTATAAAAGCTATAATCCTCAATTATTTAAAATTAAATTTTAAAAGGTCTCTGGAAAATCTCCAAATATTTGGAGATGAAATAAAAAATTTCCAAATAACTCTTGCATAGAAACAATGAAAAGAATGTAGGAAAGTATTTTGAAATGAATCAACAATGAAAACAACTTATCAAAATTTGTATGATGCAATTTCAAGGAAGTATTTAAGTGAAAATGCATTGCAGATTAATAATCTCAGCTTTTACCCAAACAAACTAAAAAGAGACCAAGTGACAGTTCAAGTAAATAGAAGACCAAAAATATTAAGAATCAATATGTTGATGAACTAGAAAAGAGAGAAAGAGTAGAGAAAAGAGACATCAGTTACCAATATCAGAGACGATCCCACTGCAGATCCTATAGGAAAAGAAGGCACAACTTCATGTCAATAAATTTAAGAACCTAGATGATTTATATAAGTTCCTTGAAAGACGTAAAACACCAAAACTAGATCAAGAAAGACGTAACCACTGGGCATGGTGGCGCATGCCTTTAATCTCTTGCACTTGGGAGGCAGAGGCTGGTGGAGCTCTGTGAGATTCAGGTCAGCCTGGTCTACATAGTGAGTTCCAGGCCAGGTGGGGCTACAGAGAGACCCTATCTGAAAAACAAGCAAGTAAGCAAGCAAGCAAACAAACAAAAAGACATAACTCAAATAGCCCTACATTTATTAAGAAACTAAATCTTTAAACTTCTCTCAAAAATATTCTCCATTACATTGGGTATAGTGGTGCATGGACACCTGTAATCCCAGCACTCAGGAATTTAAGGCAAGGCTTAGCTACACAGAGAGTTTGAAGACAGCCTGGGCTACATGAGACCACACACACA